TCTCTCTCTCTCTCTCTCTCTCTCTCACACACACACACACACACTCATACATACATAGAAGCATGTACACGAATAGTCATTGGACAGACATTCACAATTATATACGAGACAGACACATTTTTGCAGAATTAATTAAACAGAACACGTTCTCACAAACTCTCAGACCGACTGACGCAAACTGACGAAAAGACAAATCTGACCACCGAAGGATGTAAAAGACAAAGGGGAATTATTCTGCCAAAACGAAGACATCAGGGTGAAATATCAAGGGGAAGGACATATGGAACCTGAAGAAAAGACATTAAGAACAATGTACTGAAGAGTGGGAAGACATGAAATAATATCAAAAGACTAGCCAAGGATAGGGAAAGGTGGAAAGAGTTTGTTCGTGGACTATTTCTTGATTCAGGGTGAGAGAGACAATGATGATGATGATGATGATGATGATGATGATGATGATGATGATGATGATGATGATGATGATGATGATGATGGTGATGATGATTTGATGATGATGATGATGATGTTAAGATAATGATGATAATGTCGAAAAAGAAAGGCGTGTGTGACTACTGAGCAAGACAAGATTCTCTCACTCACGACAGGACACAGCCCAAGCGCCCTCAATGACGCCATAACACAACGGTCGGAAGAGCCTCTAAGGGAAACAGAGTCCAGAGTTCAGGGGTCACCAGGTAGTCCACGCCATCAGCTCTCTTACTCTCACTCTTTAGACCCGGTGCCCATTGACACGATCGGTTCAGTTTGGTTTCAGTAGGCTGGGCTAGCCAGATTGCCGGTGAAAAGAGACCCTCGTTTTGCAAACCGATCGCCCGACTCGAAGCTTAATACGGGGTGCCCACTACGGCGGGATCGGGTATATCGCCCGACTCCGTCGCCTGAAACTGAAAACAAACATGTTTGCTTTTGAGGCGACCGAGTCGAAGGATCGGCCCGATTGGCCGATCCCATCCGTAGTGGACACCTCGTATAAAAAAACAAACGCATTTGATTTCAGGCCGTAAATTGGGCAATCGGTTGGCGATCGGTTTGTCGATCTCCCAAGAGGCACTGGGTATTAGACCTGGTACTCATTGGCTAGATCGAATCGGTTCAGTTCGGATTTGTCGTCGGTGCTAGCCCGATTTTTCTGCTTGGAGGGAGAAAAGCTACCATCATCATGACATAAACCGAACGAAATCGACGATGACCTTCAAAAAACAAATGCATTTGTGTTCAAGGCCGCGAGTCGTGTGATCGGTATAAGGCAGGCGTCTGTTTATTTGTGTGCACTGAGGCCGTGAGAAACCTAACCCAATCAGAACAGAACCGATCCTTCAATGGGTACCGCCTGTTAGCTGTTCAGATGTTCTGAGCCCAGATTTTGGTGTTGTTGTTTTTTTAAAATTGAAGCTTCTTAATCTGTGGTATCAGTATCAGTTGCATGAGGGTGAGTTGTTTTTCTTGGCTGTACATGATAGTAAAAATACATGCAGGTATACCTCAAAGTTCCAATGCTATATTACTCTCTTTAAAATTCTATATGAAAAAAAGAGTACATTATAAGTTTCAGCTTTACTTTTCTTTTCATATTGAATTTTAATGAGAGGTATATTATATCACTTAAACTTTTATGTATACCTGCATGTGTTTTTACGGTCCTGAACATCCAAAAAAACGTCCACCTGGGATAATAAAGTATAATCTTATCTTAAAGTATCATTCTAAAATATTTTGTCAATATTCAAATTCTAAATGTTGAAAACAGCAAGAAAATGATAGGTAATATTGTAAGTACAATTATTGTTAGAGTGGAAAGTGTTTGTTCGTGGCATATACCTTGATCCAGTGTGAGAAAGGCAATGAGGATGATTATGACGGTTCCTAAAAGAATGAAACAGGTTTTTTTCTCTTTCCTGAAAGCTTTCTCCTTTTGGGCTTAGACCAATTGAACGGCTTGCCGACCTTGTATTAGATGCTATGAGAACGAAAACTGTTCCGTTTGAACAAGTGTTTTATCTTTTGGTAGACGTTTTCTTCGTGGGTGACAAAGTTATCTCACTTTCGCTTCTTGTCCTTAGCATTATTACAATGTTTCGTCTTCTTTGATAACTAGTCCCAACCTTTGCTTAAAAATCATTTCTGAGCTCTTGTTTTGAACATTTTTGTGCTAAATAGATAATTAACAGTCGCTAGAAAAGATCGTAGTTTTGAAGTCGTTTATAAATCTAACACAGGGCGACAAATTTCCTGTAGACTGTCAGACACGTCTTTCGATTCGAGACAAAAGACACCCCCCATTCCAACTTTAAAAAAAAAGATATGAAATAAATAATAATGAAAAGACGTTCCAGGACTCGCTACTCTCTTCAAACAAGTATAAGGTTTGTAAATCGATCAGTGCATGCATTTGTTCACACCTGATCGAAAATGCAACATGTGTTTTTGGCCCTTCACGCCGAGAACACTGTGAAAATAAGACACCTATTGCACTCTTGTTTATTATGTTGCCAACTGCCTCTTGTTACGAGAGGCGTGTGATTAGTTAAGGGTGTTTGTCCATGACGTGAGCATTGAACAAAGTCTGAAGTTACGTTCCACAATATATTATTATGTAAACCACTTAAGGTGTTTTCGCCTGATCCCGCTCTTTCGTTGGGTTTGTTCCTTTTCTTTCTCAGTTCAGAGTTGACTTTTTTCAAGTGGGAGTGAAAATCCCTCGTTCTTTTCATACCGGGGTTTAAAAACGTTCCCCTGCGATTGATCAACGTGAGACTTCTCCACGAGAGGTGACGCTTGAACGAACACCTTCTGTCTCTCTAAATAACACGCCATTCAACGTTTCCAGAGACCAAAACTATAGTAATACAGTTTTTGTATCTAATCCACAAGATCTGATTGTGGTGCGTATAGGAGTTTCCTTGTGCCGCATATTATGCCCTTGTTCAGTCTTCATTTACGACGCGGAGAAGAGCCTTTAGGTTGCAGATATATTATTCTATTTGTTACCTCGTTTTATCGCTAGGTTTTGGCGATCGAAACGTTGCTGCCAAAGGGCGAAAGTCGATATTCATTCTTTGATTCTCAGACTTCTCTGCTTACATAGATTTTTATTCATTTCACCCCTCTGATATGAGTGCAAACGACTTAATGATCGTTTTCCGAATTTTATTACTTGTATCAGTGTGTGTGGCCCTTGGAGGTAGATATTTGTGCCCATTCAGGACAGAATTTTTCGATTCTTACCCCCAAATCACGTGCTGAATGTGAGTTGAGCAGTTTAGTTTGGTGAAGTACATTCGGTGATCCCAGCCAGAAGTTCATGTCATGTTGAAATTTGCAAAGGGAGACCACCCTGACAAATCGGCCATTTTGAATACGGGGCGCAGTGCTCCAAAATAAGATAAAAAGAGAGAAGGGAATAAAAAAAAGAAAAAATCCACGTAAGTGTAGACACCATTTAGATTCTTTAGGAGGCGGGCTGTATCGGTTCTGTGTAAGGAGGCCAACCCGAGCTGAGATCGGTATAAATATCCTAGCAGAAAGACGGATAAACTCAATAACACCACCCCCCCCCCCCCCACATACCTACAATTTCACTTGGGAATTGAACTCATGCCTTATGCGATACAATGCATACTGTATGTAAGTGTGTATGGCAGTTTGTGTTCTTCCATCTGAAGATCGTTTGCACCTCTTGCGGTTAACCATTAGATCTATCTACCCCCCCCCCCCCAATCCCAAAAATAAAAATCAGGAAAAGAAGCTTTTAAGGAGGCATGATTACCATAGAGCAGAAGAAGAAGAAGAAGAAGAAGAAGAAGAAGAAGAAGAAGAAGAAGAAGAAGAAGAAGAAGAAGAAGAAGAAGAAGAAGAAGAAGAAGAAGAAGAACAACAACAACAACCAGAACAACAACAGCAACGACAACAACAACGACAATATCAACAATAACAA